TCACAAAAGATTAGTATCCAGAATCCATAAGAACAAAAACAGAGAGAGAGAGAGAGAGAGAGAGAGAGAGAGAGAGAGAGAGAGAGAGAGAGAAAGCAACCTATTAAAAAAAAGAAAAAAAAAAAAAAAAAAACAGACTACAGAGCTGGAAAGAAGAATGGAATCAGCAGGAGGGGGCAGCAAACAAAAGAAAGTAATGGGGGAGGGGTGAAGAGTACATACATATATGAAAATTTCATAATGAAACCTTTTATATAATTAATGGGTGTTAATAACAACAACAAAAGCAGCTCCACCATTTTCTTCTCCCTGTTACCACTTCCTTCTGTTTTTGCTTCGAAGAAACCTGGGACACTACTGGAATCCTGGAGACCTGATGGGAGCGGTCAAAAGTCATCCTCCATTATACTTCAGGAATCCTAGGAGTCCCTCTGACATGAGCCAGACAGATACCGAGGATTGTGTGTGATTGTTTCGCTGAACAAGTTTGGTATGGTAGGTGACTGGGGGGGGGGGTATATATGTATATTATGATTATTTTGAAAAAGTAGAAGACTAGAGATATAGTAATAATTTTAAGATTGTTTATCCTTATTACAAAGATGAGAAGTTAAGAGCACTTGGTGCTCTTGCATAGGACTGTAGTTTAATTCTCAGTCACCAAATACTATGGCTCACAGATGTCTGCAATTCTAGCTCCAGGGGAACAAAAATTTTATTGTGGCCTCCATGGGTACCTGCATATATACACATATAAATGAATAAAATAAAATAAATATTTAAAAAATTAATGGATCCATTGGACATCATGCAGGCAGCATGTAGTCTTAGAATTTAGAAGGTGCAGAAAGGGAATCAAGTATTTAAGGTCAATCTCAAATACATAATGAGTTTGAGGCCAGCCTAGGCTATAGGAGTTCTGGTCTCAAAAATCTCAAACAGAAGAAACTGATGCAGAACCTTTGGTTATGTAATTCACAGACTGTAGGTTTGAAGTGGTGGGACCTGGTATGCTAGTCTGTCACTCAGACAGCTGTAAGCAGCTGTAAGCAGGGCATGTACAGAGCATATCCTATTGAGAGAAATGTATAAATGTTACCAAAAAAGAACTGTTGATCTGATTAAAAGGGCTTAGATCTGAGATTCAGGCTAGAGAAAAATGAACTATGACAAAAATAGAAAACTATACATTAAATTTGATAAGAGCTCCTGTGTTTTCTCCACAGGAGCCCAATATTTCAATTTCAACTCATCAAAACAAGTCACAGGCCATCTCAGATCACATTAACATTTATTGACAAAAAAAACAGTTTTTTTTTTTTCAAAACACTATATATTTTATTTGAAGTTCCCCTGATAGGTAACCACTGAAGGTGGTGTCAACATCAACCACAAACTCCTCAGATCTTGTTGCCCATACGGGTCTTACCCAACATAGTTTCTTCAGTTTTTCAAAACTTCAACAATACATTACATGATATTACTAGAAATAAGTTTAATATGATAGTTGACAAATACAGCATGAAATGTAGCCAATTTATGGGAAGAGTAATAAAAAATTTTAGATTTCTCTACTTTAGTTGAACCGTTTCCTCAATAAATTTAAATTTTATTAGATACCTTTTAATTAAATGATTTGGTGAAATCTTGTTGAATTCTCAATTACATTTTGTATTTAAGTACATAAGAAATATTTGAAGTCATTACTTAAGCTTTTGTAAAGGCATCTGATATGGATGGTAGAACAGATTATAGTAAGTACAGGATCACAGCAAGGAAGGAAGAGACAGCACTGGACAGTAGAACATGGTTGGAGTAGCACTAAAAGACAGAGTGGAGACCCACTGAATGAAATTCAGAAAAGGTATCAGAAGGAGTGCTGTGGGACTGTCTGTATGTCAAATTGCTCTGATTGGTCAATAAATAAAACACTGATTGGCCAGTGGCCAGGCAGGAAGTATAGGCAGGACTAATAGAGAGGAGAATTGAGAGAACAGGAAGGCAGAGGGAGACACTGCCAGCTGCCACAATAACAAGCAGCATGTGAAGATGCCAGTAAGCCACAAGCCACATGGCAAGGTATAGATTTATAGAAATGGATTAATTTAAGGTGTAAGAACTAGATAGCTAGAAGCCTGAGCCATTAGGCCAAATAGCTTAAATAATATAAGAATCTGTGTGATTATTTTATACGTGGTTTCTGGGACTGGCAGGACTTGGCGGGAGCTGGAGAAAAATTCTCCAGCTACAAAGGAGTTTTTTTTTTTTTTTTCCAGAATGAGAAGCAAGAAATATCCTCTGCAAGTGTTACAGCTCCAGAGGGACAGAAAATCTTGACTGTCTAAAGTCAGGCTGTACCTGCAGGGGTTACAGCTCTGGAGGGAAAGGTATCCTGACTTGTTGGGAAGTCAGACTGTACTTACAGCTGTGAAGGGAAGGAATCCTGCATATCTATAACTGTGAGAAAAAAGGTATCCTGACTTTCCAGGAAGTCAGGCAATATCTGAAGCTGTGAAGTGAAGGTATCCTGGATACCTACAGCTCTGGGGGGAAAGGTATCCTGACTTGTCAGGAAGCCAGGCTATACCTTCAGCTATGACGTGGAGGTATCCTGGATACGTAGAGCTATGAGGAAAAAGGTATCTGGACTTGTCAGGAAGTCAGTCAATACCGGAAGCTGGGTTACAGTGGGGGCTGGTCTCCCTGCAGGATGTGGCAATCCTGCTCCTCTCAGAGCTAGAGATAGATAGATAGATAGATAGATAGATAGATAGATAGATAGATAGATAGATAGATAGATGATAGATAGATAGGAAGATAGGTAGATAGATAGATAGATAGATAGATAGATAGATAGATAGATAGATAGGAAGATAGATAGATAGATAGATAGAT